CTCGCGGATCTTGAGGTAGTAGGGCGGCTTGTTGGGCACGACGGGCACCAGCAGGTCGCGCACGTACTCGTTGTAGACCTCAAAGTACGACACCCTGACGTTGTAGGAAATGTTGGGCGTCTCGTTCTGCGCCCGCCTCGATGCGTTCAAAGAGATCCCTCGCACGTCCGTGGGATCAAGCCCGGGTGGTCCGGCGTGCCCATCATGGTGTAACTCTTGCCGGACCCCGTCTGGCCGTAGGCGAAGATGCATGTGTGGTAGCCCTCGAAGTTGTGGTCGAGGAACTCCTCGCCGAGGGTGTTGTAAATTTCTTCCTGCGGCGCATAGTGCTTGTCCGTTGTGTCGTGGCTCCAGAACGAATTGTCAAATGTGAAACTCTTCTCCTCGATCACCTTGCGCGACTTGGTTCGCGAGTTGGCCGGGTCGTTGTCGTTGGGCACGAGCAGCGTCGTCTCCTGGGTCATTGGGTTCATCTCGATAAGGCATTCGGCGCCGCGGTTGATTTCTGCCGAGCGTGACATTCTGCCGTCAGTCATCCATCTTGACCTCGACGCAGCGAGAAAACAAACTCACCTCGGGGCAGGAACGCCCGCACGCGGACGACCACCCGTACGTTGCCTCCTCCGTCCATTCTGGCGTGTAGCGGGATAGTTCCATCGCGAGAGCGCAGCGACGGGGTCGAGGCAGATGAGCGGATGGTCCGCAGTTCGGGAGTAGCGGCGGCGGCGGCGGGGCATCAGGCGGTTGTCCAAAGCCATTCCAAGCAGTGTCTCATTGAGTTGCTCGACGAGTTTGCGGAAGCGTTGACGTTGAACAGCCCACATCACATTCCATGAAAGCTCCCCCCCACCCCAGTCGATGTTTACTTGGTTGCCCAATCGAGTGCAGCTGCAGTGGGGCAGCGGTTGCCGGATCGACCGCGATGGTCGATGGGCAGGGATGGCCAGTGTGGCGTGGCCAAGTGCGGCGTGGCAGTGGCACCAGTGACAAGACAGGCTGATCCAAGTTGACCTTTGAAATTCTCAGTCTTCGGAAGAGAGGATCAGAGTTCTCCTGGTAGGTGCAAAGAGCGGTTGTGTTCAGTGTGATGGTACGAGATTGTTTTCTGTGCCGCCTTTCTGTTTGTTTTGATGCCGTCACTGCCCGCTGTAGTACCAGCGCCAAAGTACGTTCCCGCGCACTAGAGAGCCACGAGTGTGGAGGACCTAGGAGCCGGTGTCACAGCACGACCTTGGCAGTGCAAACCCTCGATCCGTCCTGCTGTTGAATTCCCTTCCTGTACCTATCCTACATGTCTATCATGCGGTCGTCCATGCAATCCCGAAACAATGAAATCTAGACATGCAAACGAAACGACTTCGTTCTCCCTCTACTTCCGCTTTAATCCCTTGCCCAACAACTCCGATCCAACCTCGACCACGAGCTTCTCCTTGGGAAATAGCTTCTTCTTTCCAAGCACCGTGGCTTCTGCATCCATGGCGCGCAGCAAGTCGGCCAGCTCTCCGTCAATCGCCGTGCCATAGACCAAGTAACCAAGCGCGAGCAACATGCCTTGGAGAGCCTCTGGTGAAGCTTCTTCCTGTCCGATGGCTTCGAGGACAGCAGCGGCTAGCTCAAGTTGTTCAGCCTCCGGCAAGCCGTCGCCTGCTTTCGTCTTTCTCGCTTTGCTGCTCGCCAGGGCGACATTATACATGAGAGAAGATGCGGCGACTCTCACGTTGTTATGGTTATCGTCGAGGAAGCTGGATGAGATGAGTTGCACGACAGGCTCTCTAATGAGCTCGTTGTGAAGAATCTGGTCCGCATAAAGCTGTGTAGAGAAAAGGTTGCAGGCTGATTGTAAAGTCACAAGTCGGAGGGCATAAGGGGCGTCTGAACTAGCATTGACCAGCCCGATGATGCTGTTGAGCGTCTGATGGTCGTGCTCTTCTGCGAAATGGCCGCTTACTCGAGGGTCGATCAGAGCGCACCTCAGGAGGTCCGTCACGGCGAAAAAGGTCTCTTTGGATAGTGTTTGAGTCGAGCGTCGGAGAAAGTCGGCGAATTGACGCATATCAGGCAGGACCGCCTGCGTAGGGCCGTTCTGGTCACGACTCTCAATGAAACGCCTGATGGCCTGCACAGCCGGTTCACTGGCCGCGTCTCCCATCTTGGCCAGCAGCTTCTGTAGTGGTGGTACTTTGGTGTAAAGTACTGGTTTGGCGCCAGGACTCGCAAAGCTGGGAAGATTCAACGACTCGTGGGGATGTCGGGGCCAAGCCATCTGCACCAAAAGCTGGACCTTTTCCCGTAAGGCGTGGGGTGTCGCTCCAGTCCATTGGTCTTGTTTCTCGCCGTGTACAAAGGTTGCAAATGTGGGCGCCGCACGCACGTTGAAGGTGTTGGCAACGTCTGTTGCACGGTTGATGTCGATTTTGATGAGCACAGCCGTGTCGTGCAAGTCGACGGCCAGTTGCTCATACTCGGGGTAGAGCATCTTGCAGGGTCCACATGTGCTCATGGTGAAGAAGACGACTGCACAGGACGTCTTTGCAGTCTCCAGGGCGGCACTCAGCTCCTGCATAGTGCCAGCCGTCACGACCTTGCTTCTCGGTGGTTGTGGCTGAGTAGACTGGGGCTCGGCTGCGGCGTTGTTCTGAATACCAAGTATACCTCCGTTCTGCCGCATGGAATTAACTGTCTGGTTCAGCTGAGGGAGGAGCATCCTTCCCATGGGGGAATCCATGACAGCTTGGGGCATGTTGATGATGTGATCTGGGATTCCTTTGCCGACCAAAAACTTGGCGAATGAATCCGAAAAGTTGTTGCAGTTGTGCTTCCACAGATCGTAAGCCTGTTAACCCCAACACCTGTCAGCAAGCCTCAAAGGATGTATGCCGAACCGACGTCGAGCATCCATTGCACGGGGGTGAGTGAACGTCGAAGTAGCCTCACTCACCTCGAGAGTAAAAATGGGTCTCAGCGAGTCCAAGAACTCTTCTATCACATCCATCGGAAGCTCTGTCGTTCCGAGCGGTATCCTCTGCATCGGCCTGCCGAGATGGGAAGACCCTGGCCTAATTGCGACTATACCGCCATCGTAAACGTATTCGAGCCCATTCAAGTGAATAGAGGTGTGATAAATCGCGTCAAGTTGAAACCCAAGGAACCCTTGGGACATTTGCCGCGCGAGACCCTGTGAAAGATCGTACGTGAAGAGGGCAACCTCCATGACGGGCCTGTTCAAGTGCAACAAGGATTGTATGGCAGGCAATAAGGCGGACGGAGTGCGTCGTTGAGTCGTTGCGCTACAAGTGCGCGTGTGGTAATTCTACGTGGGTAAAATGAAAAGAAATCGAACTGTTCTTGGACGGAGAAGGCCGGTGAGTGCTACTGTTGAGAAGACTCAGGGAGGCGGGTTTGGGTGCTTGTGAGCATTTTTGACGAGGAAATCCAAAACTCGACTGTCGCCGCTGCTGACATGGAGGCAACTGCGACGACGACGACGACTATCGTCGAGAAGCTTCGGTGACGAATGACCTGTGGCCTGTGACCTCCACTGCTTGGTACATGTAGCACAAGAGAGCGCCACACCAATTGCTTCTCAGCACCTAGACATGTGGCAGTGCACCTCCTCGCCCGTCCGTTCCTGTCGCGCGGAGGAAAGGGGCCCCCTTTTGGTAGACGGGGTTCGGCGCCGGGATAGCCCCGCTCATCAGGCTGCATTGGGGTTAGACTCGTTGGCCGCGGCAGGCTGGCTCGAGCAATCAGCTCCCCTAAGTCAATGAATTTTTGAGTGCCACCTCCTGGTTCGAGCCAACCCCATCCTACTGTACAGTAAAGTCGTTCCCCTCGCCGAACCCCATTCGCCTCCTTGCATTTGAACCCATTCGACTGGACTCGATTCATCTTGCATCTTGTCCCTTGGCCGAACCGTACGACCTGACGCTCTTTCGACATCGCTCCCTTCTCCCGCCGCCCTTTCCGACCTAGTCCCTCCTTTTACTTCACCTCGAATCACGAATGCGCCGGGCCGTGTCTACGTAGACTCGCCCGCACAACCTTCGTCCCTTCAACCGCGACCAATGCGAAGATCATCCGTCTCGCTCCCGCACACTAAGAACGCGCGAGATCCATTCGAAAAGCCCGGTCGCTTTGCCCCTGCCCGAAAGCCTGGTCTTCTGGGTGCACTGAAAGCCGTCATCATGTCGCAGACGCAAAAGGCGAGATGGATCAAGACGGCCGCCGTCGTCTTCTTTATCGTTTTGGGCTTCATCTGGCTGTCCCCCAAGGGCGTTGACATGTACAACAATGGAGGTGAGAAGATGAAGCGGCCGAGATGGCACGACAAACCTAACAGTCTTGCACAGTCTCCCCCACCAAGTCCAATGATGGCCAGGTCCCTTCAGACAACTCCTATGGCACCGATCGATGCACCAAGTCCAGCTCCAAGTCGAAGCCCATCGTGCAATACGTTCTCATGATCGACGCTGGAAGCACTGGCTCGCGTATCCACGTGTACAAGTTCAACAACTGCGGCGCCGCCCCCGAGCTTGAGAAGGAGGAATTCAAGATGACTGAGAAGTCGGTTGGTGGTCTCAGCAAGTATAAGGACGACCCCGAGGCAGCGGCCAAGACCCTCGATGCCCTCATGGACGTTGCCATGAAGGAAGTCCCTGACAAGCTCAAGGGCTGCAGCCCGGTCGCCGTCAAGGCCACGGCTGGTCTGCGCATGGTTGGTGCTGAAGCAGCTGACAAGATCCTCAAGACTGTGCGGTCTCACCTCGAGACCAAGTACCCCTTCCCTGTCGTCTCGGAAGAGCAGAACGGCGTTGCCATCATGGATGGCTCCGATGAGGGCGTTTACGCCTGGATCACGACCAACTACCTCCTCGGCAAGATTGGCGGCCCTGACAAGAACCCCACTGCCGCCGTCTTCGACCTTGGCGGTGGCTCTACTCAGATTGTCTTCGAACCGACGTTTAAGGGACCGGCTGGAGGCATGCCCGAGAAGCTGTCGGAAGGTGACCACAAGTACAACCTCGACTTTGGTGGTCAGAAGTTTGAGCTGTACCAGCACTCTCACCTCGGCTATGGCCTCATGGCGGCTCGTGACGCTCTCCACACCGTCTTCCTTGATGAGCTGCTGGCGTCCAAGAAAAACGACAAATCTGTTCTCGAGGGACCTGTCGTCCACCCTTGCATCGCTCCTGGATTCGCCAAGGAGACCGAGGTCAAGCTGCCAGAGAACCATCAGCTCGGCCAGAGCATCAGCCTTAACTTCACCGGACCTACCAACGCCGCCCCTGCGCAATGCCGCGCCCTGGCCGAACGCATCTTGAAGAAGGAGGCCGACTGCAAGCTTGCTCCCTGCTCTTTCAACGGTATTCATCAGCCCTCTCTGGCCAAGACCTTCGGCCGCGAGGATGTCTACATCTTCTCCTTCTTCTACGACCGCACCAAGCCACTCGGCATGCCCGACTCCTTCACCCTTCGCGAAATGCATGACCTGACCAACACCGTCTGTGGCGGTGAGCAGTCCTGGGACCTCTTCTCCACGATCCCTGGAGCTCTGGATGAGCTTCGCGACCGCCCCGATCACTGTCTCGATCTCAACTTCATGATGGCTCTTCTCCACACCGGCTACGAGATGCCCATCGAGCGCGAGGTCAAGATTGCGAAGAAGATCAAGGGCAACGAACTCGGCTGGTGCCTGGGAGCCAGGTAGGACCCTGTACCACTCCCACGAAATGACATGATTGCTAATCCTTGGCTAGTCTCCCTCTTCTCGCCCCCGGTTCCGGCTGGGAGTGCAAGGTCAAGCAGGTGCAGTAGACGGGATCCGCCCCTCTAGCTATGCGTGCTCTGGCTTTTTGTAAAGTATAGACGTTGTAATTCATGACCCAAACAACACAAGGACCTGATGACAAAAAGAAGAGTGAGATGACCGCCACAGAACAGACGGGGACTCGGCACAACGTGGTTTTTTTTTGGGGGCCTGGAGATTGGCAAATCTCACGGTACCAGTGGCGTCCCCTTACTATGGCGGGCATGGCCCGCATTCGGGAGAACGCCATATCGATGCCTTTTATAGCAGTGTTACCATCACATGTAACGAATTCATCAAATCGGCGTTTGTGAATCAAAGTGGCGTCGCAACCATGTCCAGAACCTCTTCCATGACCTCTTCCGGCCCGATATCCTCGAGCAAGGCCTCTATGGCCTCGAGCTCGCTACCCCACTGCATGCTCCTCTCCTGTCCCGGCTCCACGATCTGGATCCTGTGCAGATAGACCTTCCGCAACGCCAGTGCGACGAGGCCTGGCGTCGCGTAATCCAGCTGGTGTAGCGGCGCCAGCGCCTTGATCAGCTGCTCAAAGTGCTTCGTCGCTGTTGGACTGACACCACCCCCGACGGCTCGGTGCATTCGCAAGAAGGATATCAGATTCATCTGGTAGCGGAGGACATCCACGTCAATCTGCACACCCTGACTGAGCCTTGCCAGGGCAGCGATATCCTGAAACTGGTCGTCAGCATGATTCCGTCCGTCCGCCACACCCGAGGGTTCCATCACCACGTACCACATCGCTCAGCAACGGGTCGTCCTCGACTCGGAGGTCCCCGTTGACGCTCTTCTTCACGACGCTCTCCATGCTGCCCGTCTCCGAGCCGCCGTCCCCCACGGTGGCCTCGAATCCTTCGTCGAGGTTGGCGAAACCGAGGTCCGGGTCGTGCCAGTGCGCGAGGTACAGAAAGTCGTTAAGGTGCGGCGTGACGCGCGCGCGCCCGCCGCTCTGCGCGCCGAGCGCCGCGACGAAGAGGAACTGCTTGGGCGCCGCCTGGGACGGCGGTGCGGGTGAAGATGCGGCGGGTCCGCAGGAGCTCGAGGGCCTGGATCTGGACGGCCTTGGGCGCTTGGTCGAGGTTGCGGGCGAGGATGACGTTGGCCATGGCCGGGGGAGGGTGGCCGGGGCTCGTCGCCGAGAGAGAGGTCAGAGGGGTGAGGGCGCCGGGGCGGGCGCCAAAGTACGAGGGGTCCGCCGAGTTGCGGGTTTGAAAGGGCGAGGGGGTGCGTGACTGGGGTATCGAGGTGAGAATGGCGGCGGCGAAGTCATCGAGGGTGGTGTGGGCGTGGCAGTCGACAACGACGCATTTGAGGCCAAAGGTCTTGGTGAATATCTGGTCCTAATTAGATGAGGTTTTCAAAAAGAGAGAAGAAAGTTCTTCTGCATACAAGTTGAAGCTCTTCTATCAACTCATCGAGTGCTTCTGGAGGAGTACTGATGAGACAATGCTCCCTGCTCACGAGGCACAGTAGCCCGGCGAGTTCGAGGTCGCTGAGGCCATGGACCTTGCTGAGCAAGATATCATCTGCCATATCTAGCCTCAGTGGACATCATCCGGGCCACTGATGACCGCGACAAATGGCTGAGGATATCTTTGCCGATCATCAAGTCGTTGAGTGCATGCAAGCTAGAAGCATGCGACTGAAGCTCACCAGCCTCTCTCTCTCTCCCATCGTCTCGTCTCCTAGCGCCCCACTACAGGCGCCCAAGACATGCCCCAGCAGTGTGGTGCATGTGGCGCAGTCGTCATGGCATCCAAGTGACCTCACGCAAGAGCCGCTAGTCCCCTCTCGGCCGCTTGCATCCAAGAGCGCAACGCATTGATTGGCTTGTTTCATGCTCGTCAGTGGAACCCCCAAGTAGACAAAGGTGGAGGTACTCAGGTACCTTGGGGGAGCTAGCCGCTATCAGTTGTGCAACAGGTACTGTATGGCCGGGCCTGGCGACCGACCGACCTCCTCCATCTCGACCGCTCCAACAACAGACGAGACGACGATAACCCGTTTCTGCTGCCTGCACCGAAACGACAGGTGCCTTGCCCGACTGAATCGACACGAGTACGAAGATTACGTACTTGCAACGATTCCCCAGACCGATCCCACAGGCAGCACAAGACATTGCCTCTTCGCCGATTCCCCTCTTCGACCAGCTCGAGAGATCAACAGCCCAACATGTCGACGAGGAAGAAGGTCCTCCTCAAGGTTAGAATCATGTGCAACTAACTCCATGCCTGTTTCCTCGACTGACTTTCTTTCACCAGGTCATCATCCTTGGCGACAGCGGTGTCGGCAAGACGAGTCTGATGAACCAATATGTGCGTCCTATTCGATCTCGACCACCACCGTGCGAGGGAAGTAGCCTGCTGACCCAGGGTTCTGGCAACAGGTCAACAAGAAGTTCAGCGCCAGCTACAAGGCGACCATCGGCGCCGACTTCCTGACGAGGGAGGTCCTCGTCGATGACCGACAGGTGACAATGCAGGTACGAGGAGACAACGAGCCGCCGAAACGCCGTGGGCTGCGAACGAGCACTAACGTGACCGTGCAGCTTTGGGACACTGCCGGCCAGGAGCGCTTCCAGTCCCTGGGCGTGGCTTTCTACCGTGGTGCCGACTGCTGCGTGCTCGTGTACGACGTGAACAACTCCAAGAGCTTCGACGCCCTTGACAGCTGGAGGGACGAGTTCCTGATCCAGGCCTCGCCGCGGGATCCCGACAACTTCCCCTTTGTGAGTAGGCTCTCCGGCCCAGAGTTGTCACCGCCCTATTGACCATGTTCCTAGGTCGTTCTTGGCAACAAGATTGATGTCGAGGAGAGCAAGCGTGTGGTGAGTTTGAGATGCTTTTCTGGAAGCTCTGGACGCAAGCTGAATTTGAGTGACAGATCTCGACCAAGCGTGCCATGACGTTCTGCCAGTCCAAGGGTGGAATCCCTTACTTCGAGACCAGTGCGAAGGAGGCCGTCAACGTCGAGCAGGCTTTCGAGGGTAAGTCCACGCCTGGCAGTTACTTGCTTCTTGTGTGTACTGACGAGACATCCCTCTAGTGATCGCACGCAATGCGCTGGCTCAGGAGGAGTCGGAGGAGTTCAGCGGCGACTTCCAGGACCCCATCAACATCCACATTGGGGACGATCGCGATGGCTGTGCCTGTTAATGGGGTCAAGTCGGAGGGAGAGAGCATGTCTGCATAGCGACATGGCTCGCACGACAAGGCGCGGCACGGCACGGCACACGACAGAGAGGCAGGGTACGGCATGCCCACGATAGTCAACTTCACATGGCTCGAGGAGTACACATTCTAGCACAGACAGTCTCGGGTTGCCGGCATATTATTACTATACCTTAGGCTTGATGTAGCATATTCTGGCACTGGGTTTTCTGGGTGTTTTGCGGGGTTTTCGAATATCACACTGATTCTTTGCGTCTGATGGTCTCTGCAGTTGGCAACCTCTTTGGTAATTGAGCGTCAGACGGTGGAAGTGAGCCGATCGCAGCTTCTGACCTCTCATGTGTTCCAGGCGGGGGCGTTGCTCCCGCCAAAGACGTAGCGAAAACCTTGCAGGCGTCTGCATTCTGTCGCTCATTATAGATTTCACGGTCAGGGAGATGAGGTGCACGTGAAGAAGAGACCTCTTCAGTGACAGTCTGGGGCCCACACGCCCGCCCGCGTCGTCACGTCATGCACCCATGGAAGGGCACGGTGTCCCGCCGTGCACGATTGCAGTGACAGGACCGACCGACCTGCCCCAAGGAGCGCGCCGGAAGCCGCTGTTTCAGTGGCTGTTTGGATGCCCTGGCCCACTCGCCTGCCGCCCTAATCCAGAGCCCCCCACTGGCCTGACCCTCGCCGGGTGACACAAGGCTGCGACCCTGAGAGGACGGGAGGACGAGGAGGGGCTCACGAGGGCTCCCCCATTGGCCGAGCCCTGGAACATTTGGCGAAGACGCCATATCTCTTCCCGACGAACCCAGACAAACGTGTGCGTGATCGGAGGGGTATCCGAGCCTCGATGTCCTTCCTCCATTCCTCGCGAACGACCTTCCCGACCCCAGTGCCCACGAGGCCTCTTGGATTCCCCAGTTGACCGACAGTTCGACAGCAGCTGAACCCACGCGCGCCTCGTGCTCAGCACCTGCCGCATTTGCGAGTTCTCATTCTTACTACAACGTGCGGGCGGTCGACGAGACGGCACCTCTGTTGCTTTCTCGCCGGGAAATACGCTCGATCTCACCAACTTGGCTGCGACAGCCCTTTGACATCCAGTCAAGGCTTCAGAGTTTGGTCATTGTTTTTTTCTTCTTCTTTTTCACGAAGGCCTTTTTCCTTGGCCCCGACGTTGACGCTAGATCGAGAAAACATCAATCACGATAAGCCTTTGCGACAATGACTCGAGACGAAGCAATGATGGGGGCTAGCGACAGGCATTCGCACAGAGAGTTGCCGACCGACAGGACAACCGCCGACGCAGGGCCTATGAGCTGGCGAACAAGACTTGGACTCGACGGTGTCGGGAGGCGCACGTTGGGAATTGCCTGTCTTCTCCTGACGGTCGCCTTGTGGACCATGTCCAACTTTCTTGCATCTGTAAGCTCTTGGCTCTCCCCAGTGGCATGGCTCACTGCAATGGCTGACAAGTGCGCAGTACATCTTCTCCGACTCGACGTACGACAAGCCCTTCTTCGTCGTATACCTCAACACATCGGTCTTTGCGGTCAACCTGGTTCCGATGCTGGTCCGCTTCCTCCGTCGACACGGGCTGTCCGGTCTCCGTCACGAAGTGTCCAAGGCCTGGCATGAACAAGAATACGGCAGGACAGCCCTCCTGTCTCCGATTGCCGAAGACGCCGAGCGTCTCCTCGTCGACGATGAGGCCAGCGCCGGGGGCTACACCAGCGGAAGCATACCGAAGCAACCGCCCTCGACCGAGCGCCTCAATCCGCGCGAGACCGCCTTTCTCAGTCTCGAGTTCTGCATGCTCTGGTTCTTAGCAAATTACTTCGCCTCGGCTTGTCTGCAGTACACGAGCGTAGCAAGCGTCACGATCCTGACGTCAACGAGCAGCGTCTGGACGCTGCTCTTCTGCGCCACGCTGCGCCTCGAGACCTTTTCCATGCGCAAGCTCTTCGGCGTTCTGGCGTCGCTCGCGGGCGTCGTGCTCATCTCCACCATTGACCTGTCCGGGTCGAGCGATGAGAGCAGGGGGTCGTTCCCACACAAGACGACGGGCCAGATTGCGCTGGGAGACGGCATGGCGTTTCTGAGCGCCATCATCTACGGAGTCTACGTCACCATTATGAAGTGGAGGGTCGGCAACGAGGAGAGGGTGGACATGCAGCTATTCTTTGGGCTCGTGGGTCTCTTCAACCTCGTCATGCTGTGGCCGGTCTTCTTCATCCTGCACTGGACAGGCATTGAGACAGTGAGTTTCCCCCCTCTGGTCCTTAGCATGTTACTGTGTACTAAACCTATGCGCCAGTTCGACATGCCGCCGACAGCTGAAGTCTGGGTCATCATCCTGGTGAATGCCTTCTCTTCCTTCGTCAGCGACATATCATGGGCGTACGCAATGCTCCTGACAACGCCGGTGCTGGTCACAGTCGGCTTATCGCTGACGATTCCCCTATCGTTGATCGGAGAAATGATTCAGTATTCGCAGCACTCTGGCTGGGTGTACTGGGTCGGAGCGGCGATTGTCTTCATTTCTTTCGTGTTTGTCAATCACGAGAGCAAGGAGGAAGATTCTGCGACGGAAGAAGACCAAACTACGGCTTTCTAGAGGGTGGCGCGATTGGGAAGGCGTTGGGTCATGATTTTAGGCGTTTGGGAAGGGCATAGATTTGTCGTTGGTTGCGATCGTGATACCTCGGCATACACCTGGAGCGTGCATATAGAAGCGCATCTTGATCTGTTTTACGGGAGCCGTGCCTATGTGGTCTCTTGCCATATCGCTACACCGAATAACCATTCGTTGCGAAGCAACTTGCGAGAAAGCCGAGCCATGTCACCCGATACGGGAACAGGATAATGTTGTTGTTGTTGCACTGGAGCCGTCCCTACCTCAGAGCTCAACCCAACGGGTGCTACTATGCTGGAACCCCATGGCTGGGATGACGACCGAGTTGTAGGAATGGTTGATTCATGAGCCCGGGGCATCTTTCGGCAGCATACCGAAGTGCGTTTCTTACCTTGGATCGGAAAGCAAGCATGACGAGCAGCAGGCTCGCCCCAGTGATTCGAGGCATTACCCCCCCAAGTCTATTGCAAGCATTGGGCTCAAGCTCATGTGGCTGCTACAAAATTAGGATGAGGTCCATGCGGTGTACCGGCTCGTATTTGGTTTCTTGCTGCTGTTGGGCATCTGAGTGAAAATGTGGTTTCTGAGAACTGATTCACTCAGCCGTAGCCTCGCTGGTGACGACATGACTTGTGCGGAAGTCTGTCCGAAATAAAAGCAAAGACAAGAGGCTGAGACAGTAGTGAAAATGATGCAAGTCAGGAGTTGGAGATGTCCATGACTCGGACTGGAGATGGATCATCGACGACCGAGTTGTTGGAACAGGAACAGACTTTCAGAACAGGCAGGGTTGGGGTAGGCGGGATCGACAGGGCCGTGATTGCCGTCACGTTGGTGATTAGAGCGCTGTGGAGACGGCTCCGGGGCGCTACTTCCTCCACCCACAGCCTGTACTTGTAGGGGCATGTAGTGGGCAACGTTATGAAATGTCGATACACAGCAGAGATACCGATCTCGATGACCCATGTGCCCCCCACCTGAGCCCACGACCGAGGTGCGCGGGGCACCTGCCTCTGGCGAACAAGAGGATGGCCATGGGCATTCATTGGAGAGACATGGCATTCGCGATGCTGCCTTGGGGAAACCCTGCCTTGCCTGTGTATTTTAGGGCCTGCAACACAACCCTGAGAAGGAAGGGATGGAATGCGAGCATGTGAATCCCACCCGTTACGCAATGCACACCCAAAGCGTGGAAGCCAAGGAGAATGAGAAATAGCGTTGAAGGGATTCACGAGCGCCAAGGCATGATCTTCGCATCCATCTTTTGGTCATAGGACATTCGACGTGCCCCTCTCCCTCTTCTCTCGCGGTGGCCAAACCATCTTTGCCCGATCATTTTCTTCATCCCATCAACCTCATCTCCGCTCAAGGTTGCCCCGTAAGCCCAGCAGTGTACCGGTCGAGGACCTTGGCCGAACCCCTCCAGGCCTAGAACCGATCGTGCCTCTTCCTCCTTTCCTTCTTAGGAACGCCCCTTCGGTGCTCGGGTGTCTGCGTGGATCGAGCCACAGAACGACCCAGATCCTCCCAGCTACCTGGTTAAGGACGCTGCCCAGCTCTGCCTGGCTCGCTAATCACCGTACAGCACTCGGCCACATCTCGTCACTTGTCAGCTGTGACTGGCCGTTCCTGATCTGATCTTGATCTGTTCAGGTGCATTTACAAGCGCGCATCGCAACTGCTTGCCCCACGAGTCAGCTTTGTATTCATTCAGCAACGGCCCTGCCACGATACCATAGCTAGCATAAAGGGCAGGCATCGATAGGGCACCGGCGAGGCATCAGTGAGCCATCTCTTGCTGCGTGGTTCTGTCGCTCCCTGGCATCATGAAATTTCGCTCCTCGCCCGCTCGACCTCTTCAACGTCTCGCCCGCGGCCTTCATGGGCAGAGAACATCCAGACAGCCTTTTTCACCATCTTGCAAACCTTCTCAAGCCGCGCCCGACCTCCCTACCTAGAGCCTCTCCTTCTCATAAGCATCATCCACCAGGCTTGCCTCGCCGCAAGGAGGCCCCTACGACGTTATGCTGTCCTCGACAGAAGCCTCCGCGAGCAGCGGAAGCCCTCAACGGCCGCTATCAGATTCGATCAACGCCGCCACTAGGACTATCCACGCAAAGCTTAACAAGCTCATCATCGCTCGCCTACCTCTGAGCTTGCCTCCTCATGCGCAAGATCCTTCCACCTATGCATCTGGTCTTGTGCACATTGCGCCCATCTACATCACTTTCGAGTCTTGGTGGCATAGTCTCGTAAGCGCACCGCCGGCTCCCGGCACCGATGCTGCTGCCGACCGCATCCACGACATCCTATCCAGCATCTATTTTCCAGATCTCATGCGCGCTGACCGCCTGCGTGCCGACATTGCCCAACTCACTGGTTGGTCCACCGACGCTGTCAACCAGAAGCTCGATACCGTCGCCCGTCACAGTAGTCTCGCGGATTTTCTGCGCCATATTTCTCGCGCGCTCGAGAACCGGCCGCACGTCTTGATTGCGTATGCTTACATCCTGTTCATGGCCCTTTTCGCTGGCGGACGCTTCATCCGGGCCACGCTGGAATCTGTCGACACGTCCGACCCGGAACCTGGCTTTTGGAATCGTCGCCCCGTCCCCGGCACTCCTGGCGACCCGTTACCTCTCTCTTTTTTCCGCTTCAATGGTTCTGTCGATGGAGAAGATCTGAAGCGTGACTTTAAGGCAAGCCTCGCCTCCATCGAGCCTCTCCTCTCTGCACACGATCGACACGACATTGTCCAGGAGGCCATCTGCATCTTCGACAACATGCTCCGTCTCGTAGGCCAGCTCGATGTCTTTTGCAACACCGATCTCGAAGCAGAGCCGTCTCCCTTTGGCTCGCGACTGCGTAACTCCGTGGCCGTCGCCAAAGAACGCCGTGCTGCGGCAGCGGCCAGTAGCAATGATGACTCGCCAGAACGAAGCCACTCTCATCACCAATGTCCAGCAATGAGAGCGGCTGGGTCCGACGAGTCGGCGGACCTGGAGGGCACCGGCCAGTTTTGCCCCATGCTCGGCAAGGCTGTCCGTTTCGAGCCTAAGCCGTCCACGCCGGATCGTGTTCGCAGAGTCGGCAAGTTGCGTTCCATGTTCTCGGGCGATGGTTCATCTTCGCGCAGGGGTAGTCTTGTCGAAACTGTGACCTCGCGTACGTCTGCCAGGCTCTCTCTGCTGTCCAATGTGCTTCTGCTGGCGGCAGCAGCTGGGCTCATGGCCACGTTTTACTTCTCTAAGGGGAGACGTGAGGAGAGCGTGATGTAGGAGCTGAAAGATGAGAGTCTTGTCGTGTTGCATAGTTGATGTTGGAGATTGATGGGATACCAGATGATGACTGCACGGCGTTGAGGCTGACCTTGTTTTCTTCTTCTTTTTTTCAACACCTGGACTTATCATGGCGCTGCGAGGGACATACACGATACCCCCCTTTGTGTCTTTTTTTTTGGGCTTTCCTTATCTACTACATCCATGTTTATGACAACAGAGCCAGACAGCATCAACACCATGGCGAGAAGGAGCATAGCCTGATCCGAATTGATGATCGGTCATACAATAGCCAGTTTTGCCAAGGTTTCAACAATCAGGACCCCAGGATTCTGAACTGCTGTTGTTGGGATAATTTGTGATATGCTATGCTATGCTATCCATGACCAATCGATTGGGTATCCTGCTCTATCGCTCAGTCAAATCTGCCTTTGCAACCTTTTCCGTAAACGGGCTTGGTCCCTTGAGACGCCCCAAATAAGAACCCCCAAGAAGCTGTCATCCTGACGCTGCTGTATTCCAGGCAACTGCACAGTACTCAAAATACACACACACGCACACACATGCGCCTTGCAAAAGGGAGGCTGCACAAAGAGGAAGACCAGTACACTCAGCACTCGGAGTGGTCGTCGTCATCGTCGTCCCAGCTCGCACCCTCCTCGGTTCGCGCCCAGCCCGCCATCCAGCGCTTCCGGCCGAAACCGCCACAGGTGCGCAGGTCGCGGGCGTCCCTCGGGACGTCCTCGTTGCGATCGCCGGCGCCCTCGCAGGCATCCTCCTGCCAGTGCCGCACGGTGTAGTCGTCCGAGACGGTGACGAGCTTGCCCTCGTTTGACCAACTGAGGCCCGTGACCTCGCGCTGGTGCCCGTCTGCGAGCTGCGTGCCGTTGTGGACCATGGGGATGCGTGCGGCGGCGGCGGCACCGGAGCTGGGACCGGGACGCCTCGCACTGGCGTCCCAGTCGTGATTTGGGTCGTGGCTCTCGCGATCCCACTTCTCGCGGAGGAAGCGCTCGTCGGTCGGGAAGAGGATGGCGCTGGATGTGGCGCTGCCGACGGCGAGAAGTTCGGGACCGTTTCCCGTGCCGACGGTGCGCAGGGCGGAGCGGACGTAGAAGGAGCCGACGGTGAGAGCGGGTGGCGGAAGCCGTAGAGGGGGCCCAGACCAGGGAGGCAGATCCTAGCTTCTGGCGGGGCGGGTGCGCGGAGAGTTGCGGCGCGGGGTCGAGCATGAAGTGGGCGGTCGAGTAGGCGTATACGTGCTGTCTTGCAGACGCGTAGAGACGGGAGCGTCGGAACTGAGGCACATGGACGTCAGGCCCGTACGGGCGCCAGGCGTGGGTCGAAGGGGTCGCCGTGGCGGACAAGGGGGTGGCTGCTCGGTTACTTGAGGTGACGTAGCGGGTGTCCCAGAGTTTGATGCAAGAGTTGGCTTCCGAAGCGGAGAGGAGGAGATGCTCCCGTCCTGCAGGCAGCCACTCGAGAGCCGTGACCGAGGCTCCTCTGGTCTCACCCTCGACAACACGAACATGGGCTTCGAGCATGGTGTTCAACGGCCTTGTCCTTGATGGGGGCAGATCACGGTCGCGAGCAATGGGTCCTCGAGGCCCTATCGTTGTGAAAGATACGGCGGGAGAGGTGCTGCAACGAATGTCCCAGATTTGGATCGTGCCGTCCCGGTCCGAAGTCGCAAGCACGTCACCATTGGCCTGACCGGGTTGAAACTTGACGCGGCGCATGGCTTGGTACTGGCCGTGGTTCAGCTCCACGGCTATTGACTGGGACATGACATCCATGATCTTGCCGCTGTGGTCTCCGCAGGCGGTTGCCAGTCTGAGGTCGTTGTGCGAGAAGGCCAGGTCCATAATGGCGTTATTGTGAGCTTGCACGGCGATTTTGACCTTGGTGGGTTCTGATACGTGGGCGGGAACGGACTTTGTATCAAAGAGACGAATAAATCCCTCCTCATCGCCGACGGCAGTCAAGGGGGTAGCTAAGAAACAGTCAGAAATGGGTGGATGGATACCCAAAAGCCCAAGAACGTACTGTGACAACTGGCGAGACTGAAAGGAATAGTATGCCCTCGGCCGAGGCTTGAAGTACACGTGTAGACATCTGTATCACGAGTGAAGAAGCGAGAGGTTTCGCAGCGTTGATCTAGAGCAAGGTTAGATCACGTCCAATTACTCTTGCGAGCTGCTTTACATACCATGAGCTGGGCAGTCGATTCTCTCCAGTCCAGGCCTCGGCGTGATACCCTGCTCGCGGAGCAGCAGCTGTGCGGCAAAGCCCCGGTTACGGAGCTTCATGACAGGCTTTGGTTTATAGCCAAGCATCATCTGTCGATGATTAGGTCTACACTGCAAGCTTCTCAGAGGATAGAGACGTACCGCATCACTGGAACCCGCATGAGATGATTGTGCGAGCTTGCTCTCGAAACCGAGCGTGGAGCCGGAACGAGTCTGAGCACCCAGAGCTCTCAAATTATGAGCGGTCAAGTTAGACGTGCGCACACTCCCAATCGAGGGCGAAGACAGCAGGTCAGAGGCCTCGGTCCTCCTTCGTTTCCTCGCATCGGGAAGAGTCTCCCCCGAGTCTCTGCGTGATGCATTGTTGTAGTCGATCGATCCTCCGAAGAGGTTGAGAGTCTTCCTCCTTGCGTCTTGCGGAACGTCAACGTTGAAATCAACGGATCTTGAATCGAGCTTGTCTTCGAGGGTTGATGCAGGCGATGTCAGATGGGCGGCGTTGAGGGCCGACTCGCTCGACTCGCCGAGGATAGATCTGGCATCGAAGGGTATGGCAAGCCTCTCGCTCCGGGGAGTGAAGAACCTCCTGAATTTCCTTGGGGTTATGGTCGGCTCGCGTCGTTCTCTTCGGGATCGTTTTCGGGAAGAGCCATCCTGTATCGGCGAGGAGGGGGGCATCATGGTCGAGGGTGACGAGGGTATGTGGCCATCGCTCGGGGGAGGGCTAGCCATGGCGCGGCCCCATGTTCGGCTGGACGACATGGTGACAGTGTGGTGTGCCTGTCGAAGCACAGGTGCTCAATTGAAGAACTCACGACAACCTGGCAACGCGAGGTAGGGTAAGGTAAGAGGAGGAGGAGGGGGGTAAGGAGTTGCGTGGAGGGAAGGGGTGACAGGGCGCTGGAATGGGGAAGTCGTTGCCACGGACACCCAGGGAAGTGAGGATTCGAGACCAGGTTGCTGTGGACAACTAGTGGCAGGCCGATGGGTTGTGTCAGAAGTGCCGGAAGCTTTGGGAGCAGAACATGAAATGACGAAGAGGTGTGGGCGTCAAGAAAGCTACCGTGAAAGACCCGGCAATTTGTTCTAGAGAAACAGGCTGGGGTGGAGAGATGGCATGAGAATTGGCAGAAGAAACGACTGACGTCGTCACGATCGAAAAGGTGCACGAGACGCACAGACGGCGAAGGGTGCCCGAGGAACGCGCCGCAACACGACCTGGACGCGTGCTAGCGCGTCTGAGCTACAGGGGGTTTAAATTGACCGTTAGCGCTTGAGCTGCCACTCACTGCCTTAGCTCTAGGTCCTGTCAGCTGCTGGCATCCCGAGTGAGCAACCTTCCCAAAGTCAATCCTGCTGCTACCCAAACATCAACCGTGTACATCCATCATGAGGACACCATGTCCTGCATCACCATGTATACACATCAACAGTCATCTGTCGGGCATTCTCATGACTTTCGTTATTGATATTTTTTTCTAACCAGGCCATCACCGGATGATGGCGTCCGCTTTTTGCGCAGGATGTCCCATCAATCCGAACGAGCCGTGCCCCGTCTATCAAGCCTCCTCAAAGCAAGCCGGGTCTACGACACAGTCTTCTCGACCATGTTGATGCCGTACTTCTCCTTGAGCTCCTTCATGAGCGGGTTGTTGATCTTGGAGGTCATGGGCCGCGAGCACGCCCTCTTCGCGAGGGTGCCGTTGAGCACTGCTGACAGCGACGGCGCACCGGCACCGCCGACGAGCTTGGCCATGGCCGAGTAGCCGGCAGGGTCGCCGTACTCGACGAGGGTCGACGTGCGCGTCTCGCGCTCGCCGCTCTTGTGCTCAATGACAAACTTGTGCTGCAGCATGACGAGGTCGCGCTCGCCCTCCTCGAACTGCATCTTCTTCTCGAGCGTCGCGCAGAGCGTGTCGAGCGGGTTGCCGCGCGCAATCGTCTGCTCGTCCGAGAAGAGGCCAATCCAGCGCAGACCGCCAAGGATGCGCTGCTGGTCCTCGGGCGAGTCGAAGGTCGCCTTGGCGAGGATGGCCTTCTCGAGGTCGGCGGCGCTCGAGGACGAGGCGCCGACGATGGTCTTGGTGGCCTCCTTCCAGGGCTGGTTCTGGGCGAGCGTCTCCTGGGCCGTGTCGTCGAGGAAGCCAATCTCGACGAGGACGCGGATGAACTGGGGGAAGCCCTGGTAGCGGAGGGTACCACGGATGATGGTCTCGGCCTCGGGGATGTTGTAGCGCTCCTTGTAGGGGGTCGAGTCACGGTTGGGGTACGCGACAAAGGCGTAGCCGGGGTAGATGAAGTAGGGCTTGGCCGTGCCCATGAGGTCCTTGGACTGCACGTCGACGACGGAACCGCCGTGGTAGTACTTGGCGGCGTTGCGGAGCGCCAGCAGCACGCCACGCGACGACCACGAGAACTTGTAGCCGAGAGGGTTGTCCGAGGCCTCGGGCGCGGGGAGACCGCCGCAGTAGGACAGGAAGGACAGGATCTTGCCGCCCTCCTGGTGCACCTCCTCAATGGTCTTGACGGCGTCTGCAAAAGGGTCAGTACGTCTGGATGCACAGCTTTCCGCACAAGCGCCGGTAGCTAGCAGCTGGCACACTTACAGAGGTGGTCGATACCGGGGTCCTGGGGGAGCAACAAGGTCAGTTCAAGCCCCTCTCCGGGCAGGCAACGGAGGAAAACATACCAGGCCAATCTCGTTCATGACAGTGATGCCGGCGTCCTTGCACTGCTGGTCGAGCTCCATCATGGCGGGCGAGACGTAGCTGGTGGTGACGACATGCTTCTTCTGGCGGATGGCCGACTTGATGACGGTGGCGTGGAAGGTGTAAGGGATCAAGCTGATGACCAGATCGTGCTTGGCGACCTCAGCATCGAGAGCCTTGTCGTCGGTCACATCGAGGGAGATGGGGGTCGAGTGGGCGACGCCCTGGGAAAGCTTCTTCGCGGACTCGAGAGTCCTGCAGGCTGGAAGACGCAATGGGCGTCAGTTTCCGACCAAAGCTCGAACAGAAAGAGAGGCAGGTGCGTGTCTTACCGACGGTGACGGGGATACCGGCCTCGCTGAGGATATCGAGGGTCGGCCGGGTCACGAAGCCCGCACCGAGCATGAGCACGCTCCTATGCAGCGGTCAGGTTAGCGGGGTTGCTGTTTTTGTCTCCGCATCGTAGCTATCGTAATGGTATGGTAGGTAGGTGAGGGGCAGGGGTGGGAGGAGGGGCCATGTTGAACATGGAAGATGAAGCATGGAGGCTAGACGTACTGGGATGACATGATGGTATTCTTTTTTTCTCTCTGTGGGAAGAAAGAAAATATAGTGTCAATTGTCTTCAATCAAAAGAAGATCAAAGAAGCAGAGATGATGTTGCTCGCAAGAATCAGACATGGACGTCACAGCCAGCAGACACAAGTCATTGGCATTCGGGACCCAGAAAAATTCCACCCCACGGTGGGGTAACGGCGCTCATGTTTCCATGGCGTTGAGCGAGACCGGCGGCGGACTCACTCTTTGGAAGTGGGTGGTCGCTATCACCACGTGACCACTCGTTATCAGAACGCCAAGAAACAAAATTTCTGAAAATCGAGCCGAGAGAAGAGAAGACGGGCGGTGGGGCGGAAGGACTCGAGGACCCCAGCGGTATCACAGCAGCCTCCTTCAACGAACGACACGACACCAGGCCTGCTGCTGCTGCTGCTGCTGCTGCTTCGCGACCGTCGCCATGGCCATCCAGAAGAAGCACGGCAAGGGCCGTCTCGACAAGTGGTACAAGCTTGCCAAGGAGAAGGGCTACCGCGCCCGAGCTGCGTTCAAGCTGATCCAGCTGAACAAGAAGTATGGCTTTTTGGAAAAGAGCAAGGTCTTGATCGATCTCTGCGCCGCGCCAGGAGTGAGTTGGTGACCAAGGATCCGGGCATGCCGACGGCCTCACGCCGCGGACAACGTTTGCTAACGCCTCTACGCGCAGTCATGGTGTCAAGTCGCCGCCGAGACCATGCCGGTCAACAGTCTGATTGTCGGTGTCGATCTCGCCCCCATCAAGGCCATCCCCAAGTGCATCACCTTCCAGAGCGACATCACGACCGACAAGTGCCGCGCGACGCTCCGACAACACCTCAAGACGTGGAAGGCCGACACAGTGCTCCACGACGGCGCCCCCAACGTCGGCACCGCCTGGAACCAGGATTCGTTCAACCAGGCCGAGCTCGTGCTGCAGTCGATGAAGCTGGCCACCGAGTTCCTCGTCGAGGGCGGCACCTTTGTCACCAAGGTGTTCCGCTCCAAGGACTACAACCCCCTGCTCTGGGTCTTCAACCAGCTCTTCACCAAGGTCGAGGCCACCAAGCCGCCGTCGTCGCGCAACGTCTCGGCCGAGATCTTCGTCGTCTGCCGCGGCTACAAGGCGCCCAAGCGCATCGACCCCCGCTTCCTCGACCCCAAGGCCGTCTTCGCGAGCTCAGGACAGGCCCCACACGAGGCCAAGGTCTACAACCCGGAGATCAAGAAGCGCAAGCGTGACGGCTACGAGGAGGGCGACTACACCCTCTACAAGGAGGCGCCCGCCAGCGAGTTCATCCAGACCGACGACCCCCTCGCCATCCTCGGCGGCTACAACAAGCTGACGTGGGCCCAGCCCAAGAACGGCGACGTGGCCCTCGCCGCCATGAGCAAGCTGCCCGAGACGACAGACGAGATCCGCCTGTGCTGCGAGGACCTCAAGGTCCTCGGCCGGCGCGACTTCAAGATCCTCCTCAAGTGGCGTCTCAAGGTGCGCGAGATCTTTGGCCTGTCGACGAAGAAGGACGACGAGCCCGTGCCCGAGGAGGTCGCCGAGGTCGAGGACATGGACGAGGAGCTCAAGATTCAGGAGGAGCTGCAGGCCATGCGCGACCGGGAGAGCACCAAGAAGAAGCGCGAGCGCCGCCGGGAGAACGAGAAGAAGCAGAAGGAGATTGTGCGCATGCAGATGAACATGATGGCCCCCATGGACATTGGCATGGAGCAGGACGGCCCCATGGGCGCCGACTCGATGTTCCGTCTCAAGATTGTCGACAAGGCCGGCGCCGCCAACAAGATTGCGCAGGGCCGCATGGCCATTCCGCGCGAGGCCGAGCAGAAGGACAGCGGCATCGGCTCGTCCGGCGAGACGGACGACGAGACGGACGAGGAGGAGGACCGCCTCGAGGAGGAGCTCGACGGCATGTACCAGCAGTACAAGGAGAAAAAGGCCGAGGCGGACGCAAAGTATCGCGCGAAGCGGCGCGGCGCGAGGAGCACAATGACGAGTTTGAGGGCTTCTCCGGCGACGACAAGACGGTCAACACGGAACGACGAGTTTGACAT